CGAAAACACAACCAATTTAAAATTTTCAAAACAACCCGATTTTCATTAAAATGTTTACAAAAAGGTTTTCAATACAATTCATTTAAGTATTCCCAGAATCACGTTGTTACGAAATCATGAGGAAGCGGTACGATCGCGCCTTCGCCTTGCCACAGTCTCCTGAAGAACCTGAAAAACATTAAACCACAACTGTAAGCCCGAAAGCTTAGTGAGATACCCCCAAAATACCAACCACGTATACGCCCTTCCAGGCCGCGACCTCCCGGTCCAAAACATATAAAACATACATAACATAACAGGACATAGAACAGTCATACATATCGGGTCTACCGTGACTGGTCCGCCGTATCGGGCCTTCAGTCCATCGGATCCATCCTCCGGGTCTAGTCATGTCCTTCGAGTCTACAGTGGGGTTGGTCCGCCCGCATCGGGCCTTCAACCCACCTGGTCCACTCTCTGAGTCTACAGTGTGACTGGTCCGCCCGCATCGGGCCTACAGTCGGCCTGGTCCACTCTCCGAGCCTCGGCACGTCTGGTCCGCCCACGTGGGGCCTACAGCCTATCCGGACCGCTCACTGGGCCTTCGGAACAACCGGTCCGCCCTGGGTATCTTGGCCTACAGCACAAAGCAGGACCCGCCTCAACCCATCTCTAGTCCAAACAACCATGTGCACAAAACATACATTCATATAACAGTCATAATCAACAAACCGAGTAAGCAGATCACATAGCATATCATTACCCTAACCGGGCTACCGACCTAACCGGTCACTAGCATAGCATCACTCTGTATATCGAGAACTGACCTTAACAAGGTCCCCTAGCATGTACCATCCTAACTACCAGGATGCAGACACAACCAACAATAACATGATAGACGTAACTGAATCTCAATACAATAAAGGGCCGGCCTTGGTGCCTTAGACCCTGTTGATATAGTGAGGATAACTCACCTCGAAACTGACGGCTGAAAAGATAAGATCCCGCTGCTCCGAACTCTGACACAAACTCCTCCACTGAACATCAAACAATAACCCAATAAATACCCTTAATTACCAAAATACCCCTGGAAGACAACTGGTCAACCCTGGACAAGTCAAAGTCAACCCCTGACTGACCCTACTCGCCGAGTCAACCCGATGACTCGCCGAGTCCTTATGCTCAGAACTTCCCTCAATTAGCGACCCAACTGAGCCCAAGACTCACCGAGTCATCCCTCGACTCACCGATTCATCGACTCAACCAGAAATATTGGGACTTCCTTGACAAGACTCGCCGAGTCCAAATGGACTCGTCGAGTCCAAGGCTATCTTCAACCTACTCGCCGAGTTGTTCTTCCAACTCGTCGAGTTCCAGGCCATCTTCAAGCAACTCGTCGAGTCCACCCATGTGACTCGCCAGTACCACCGGTCTGAATCCATACAGAAGCATCTCAGGCCATGCAATTGATCCAAAACATAGATCCAACCTCCTACAATCCATCCATCACGTAAAGTGGCAAACTTTACGTGAATCTAACGAGATCTAAGCCATTTTCACCTTAGAACCAAGGTTTGGGACATGGTAGCTTCATTAACAACACAAAGATAGGGGCTTTAATGCTCTTAAGGTCTTCTCCACTCCAGATCTGAGGTAGCAACCTCAGATCCATCCTCCAACATCAAAATGCACACAACCAAGCACCCCACACAACCCAAAATGATGGAACTAGGAATGCACAGCCTAAGGACGAAGATATTACCTCCAAAAGATGCCTCAATAGCAGCCAAACTCGAATCCAAGCAAAGCCCTTTGATCCAAACCACTTCTCCTTCAAGATCTCTTCAAACCACACTCTCCAAGCTCTAATTTGCTCCACAATGATCTCTCCACGAATTTAGGGTTTCTGGAACTCAAGGGGGAATAAGGGAGGCTGTGGAGGGGTATTATGCTCTTTATATAGGGCTCAACCCCGAAAATTAGGGTTTTCTCCATACAGCACCTACTCGCCGAGTCCATCCTAGGACTCGCCGAGTAGGCCACTTGACACGCGACCATAGCCGCGACCTGACTCGCCGAGTCTACCCATGGACTCGCCGAGTCACCCTCCGAAACTTACACTTTTAGCCCTTCAACTCTACTCCTGCGATTCCGGGATGTTACAATTCTCCCCCACTTAGATTAGGCTTCGTCCTCGAAGCCTACGGCATCTCATCTTCAAAATACTTCCCACGACGTGTCACTTGACCTTGACCGAACCAAGTCCCTCAAGGTACAACCATAGAACCAGAAGCTCACTTTCTCCTTCCATACGGTGTCCCCACCACCTACTCAAACCGGGCACCAACTGTACCCTCCGATAACCACGCTCAACAACCGAGAATTACCCATGATGCATTATTACTCAAATCCTCATCTTTCACTTGACTCATATGGCTATAAAGCCACGAACCATCGGAGTCCCGATCCGAATTCCACTCTATCCATCCCATGCCGACCAAAAGACCCATTCCTCCATTTTGGAGCAACTCCCCCGAGTTCTCCTCTCGCAATCACACACACATGCTGATCTAGC